TTAGACGCAATTGATATAAGCTGAAAATCATGCTTTAAGACATCAATTTTATTTAATTTATATTAATTTAAAAATCACCTGGATGGGTTTAAAATCTTTTTTGCAAAGAGAATAAATATTTAATTTAAAAAAAATGCAATCAGCTAATTAATGCTGTAAGATCGTCTAGCTACTGATTTTTTCTATAACATCTACACAAGTGCAGTCTATCTATTAATAAATTATTATTTATTAATAAATAACGCGGATCTTTAAAGATTTATTTTGTCGACCTGTGGCTTTTCATATTCCAGATTAGGCTTGTTTTTACGCGCTATTTTTAGCCAGTGCCATGTTGGGGTACGCGTTTAATTAGCATCTCAAGCAAAAACAATTATAATGACAAATTTAAGCCGTGCACGCGACTCTGATTAGAGAGAGCGACAACTTGCGAGTAGGATCCGTACTCAGGGGAGAAGCAACCATCGATCCCAGGCGCACCTCTCACTGGTCATGCACGTGCGAAGTGTCGTTACAAATACAAATTTGCGGAAGCTTTTCCAGCGATTCGATTTAAATTGCGCGTGGCCAATTTGCTGATAAGCTCCGCCTGGCTGAAGGTCAGCAGCCCTGGACTAGACTGAGTCAACTTATCTCTATGCCAGCTAATTAGGTTTTCAGAGCATCAATATTAAACCTGACTACGTAAAAAATGTTTGAAAATATTTATATAACAAAAGTGCGTCGCAGTTTGTGGTATGGCCATATAAAAAAGTTAGTAGACTGGTTTTTTTTTCAACTTTTGTTTTCCTCTTTTTTTTTTTTTTTTGCTGCTTGGTTGGGCGAAACGAGTAGCTGAAATTGTAATTAGGCATGTATCTGGTTTTAAGTTTGTTTTGCTTTGTTTTGTTGAAAGTTTGCATAGATGAAGCGTACAACTGATTTATGGCCCAGTTTGAAGAGTTTGTTTTATGAAGTTAGGCTGCTTTAGTTAATTTACAAGTAGATTGTTAGAAAGATAACAAATTAATTTTAAAAGAAATCTGTAATTTAATACCAATATATATCATATCGCCTAACATATACAACATGCCTAACTAAATGGAAATTCACTTGTTAATTACAGATTTTCATAGTTTGTTTAGCATAAAATAAAATTGGAGCGAGTTTATTTTTTTAACGCGGCACGACCACGAAGCGACAATATTTAATCGCCCGTGACAAAAGCTGTTTAAAAATTACCCGCACAATTTATTTAAAATTTTGTAATATATCAATTTTTAATTAATGAAGCATATATTATTTATAAGGCACTGTGAAACTATCTGATCTCGTGCCTGATCATGTTAATACTGTCTGCGCTTTCACGTGCCCGATGCGTGAATGTTTGTGTCACGCACGGAAACACGACACGCACTCATCTCTAGCAAGTGCTATCAACTTCTACAGTTTATAGGCGACACTAGAGTTTCTCGTCAAAGTCACAATCGCACTTTTATTACAGGCTTCATGGCTGGCTGCCTATTAATACGTGATATAGAATCCAATAATAATCACTGGTATTAGTACTTTAAATCTAAAACACGTTAATCTGTGCACAATCAAAGATCAATTAAATTATCTGATGCACAAAGCACTAATCACTGGACTTAATTTGAGCTCTTTTCAATGATTATAGAACTATAGGTAAGCCTATTTCTTATCAGGCTTATACCTTTCGGAATGCCTTCACTTTCCGTACTGGTGATACATAGTATTTATGACATTTTGTGTATGCGTGTAAGGCTTGTTGTTATCGCGCGACATTCGTCTATTGCCTCAGCTGGCAGCGTACTAAATTAAAATTATTCCGAGCAATAATTAAATGCTACGTTACACTGTGCTACAGTGTCAAGGCATGTTGCTTAAAAACTGCGAGCGTTAATTATTTTTGTCGCGTGCTTATCAGCAATATGTTATTCTTTTTTTAAACATTTCTTACGATTTGTTATCAGCAAAATGTTTTTTTTTTCTTTTTTGTTAATTTGCTGAAGCTATGTTAATTCCATTCACTTTCAATGCTAGGTTTAAACGTTTAATGACGAACGTTGGTTTTGCATTATTGTACTATCAGCTGCTTATTCTTTAAAAGACGTGACGTTACTATTTACTCTACTTGCGGCACCTGGCATTTTTAATGACTTTGATAGAGCACTTGTAAGGTGGTCTTAATTAACTCTAACTTTGAAGTAAGATGTAAGCTAATGGAATTGGGAGTCCTTTTGTAGAAGCTCTGAAATTGCACCACAGTTTGATTGATAACTTAAAAAACAATAAACACTTTAAATTTAATTAATATATCTATCTTAAGACCTAATTATATTGAGGATTGAGTTACTTTGTTGTACGTTTCGATAGTTCGTCCTGTTTTTAATAATAATAATAATAGTTTTAGTAATAATAATAATAGTAACAAACAAATTTTAATAATAATAATAATAATAAAAATAACCCTAAGCAATATACCTTTGAGTCTTGATCTTCTCAAATTACGAAACGCTTAAAAGCCCTAAAAGCTTCACAAAATATTTTATGTTCGCTTAAAGCTTAGCCAGCTTTGTTTAAATTAAAAACTTGGCCCCGCACAGATTCGGCTTCTATCACCTGTATGACTTATCACACGAAAGCTTGGGGTCTGTTGCACAGTGTAATAGCCGCAGCTGTTACTTCACAGCTGTTTTTCTACTTTTTTTTTTGCTAGTGTTGTTCGATTGCTATCGACTCTCGGACTTACCACATGCAACAGCTCAAGCGTAGACTCGTCGGTGCCGGGATCGGTGAGCTTGCTCGAGATGACCGTCGAGTGTGTAAAGCACAAGATCAGCAAAGCCAATGCAATTAAGCCGCCCGTCATCGCTAGACAATGCCTCCTAGTGAAATGCGAACGCGGCATTTTGGTAGAGCTGCTTTATATGGCTTAGTCGCGGGTCTCGAACTTGGGTTGTTCTCCGTTTTATTGTTGTATGTGTATATGTGTTTATTTGCTTCGCGCTAATAGCAGAGCGGGAACGTTGAAGCGATTCGAACGTCCACAAACACACAAATCAGAAGACCAACAGACAACTCGATTCTTTTTGGATTTTTGCTGGCATTGTTTATTCGGCGCTTTTAATTATGCTCTTCATAAAACAGAAAACCAAAAAATAATAATAATAAACTTGTTATCGTTAATTTGCAAAGTCGTTATGGAACGAGTTTTGAGGGCGCCTTTTCTTTCAACAGCATTTGAATATCTGTATTTCGGGCACGATATTTGTCTTCTTTCTGCTGTTATCATCAATACAAACATACGCGTATTTCTATTTGACAAACCTTGTACACTGTAATTAATGATGAGCCGTCTTATATTTTCAGTTTTTAGCCGAGCTGATAAGCGAATAACCGGATAACGGATAACGGATAGCTCAGCTGTTCCACGGAGCACCTATGCCGTACTGTCATATATATTTCGCGAGCCAAACAAAAGCCCACAAAAAAAAATAAAAACGATGTTCAGACCCAACAGAACCAGAACATATGTCTTTTATCGTTTCATTATCGCTAAATGCTTTCGTCACCGCCGTCGCTTTTGACTATTATTACTTTTATTCTTATTGTTATTGTTGTTGTTGTTGTATGTCTATTGTGTGTTGCGTGGCTCGTAACTGATCGTACATTGAGCAGTCGCCACAACAATGCCTTCACATTTGAGGCGTTTTAAATCGCGGGCGCGACTTACATTTATATTGCGCGTACACACCCACACACACACATACTATAAAATACAGTCACACACACTTTGGCGTCTGGCTAATTTATGCCCAAAGAAATTCGTCACCAGATTTTTCGGCAGCCGGTTGTAATAAATCTTAACATTTTGGATTTGTTTACTTTGTTACTTTGTCGAGCATATGTTAATTATTTAGTATTATGCATGTTGTTTTTGTTGCTGTGTTTTGTTTAAAATTGCGCCTCAATTTGACAAATTTAAATTTACATATTGTTTTTTTTATTGCCGCACGGAAGTTGTTGCCATCCTTTGATGGATTAAATATAATTCACTTGAATCGCTTTTATGCATAAAATGTTCAAATGCCAACTGTTTGCTTCAAGAACATCTACACTTTGTTTTATAAGTGCTGTAAGAAACCTTTTAGTAAACGTGTATTTAATTTGAAGGTGGGGCAGTTTGAGAAATATGTGAAATAAACAACTCCAGTTCATTAACTTGATTTGGTGATGCAGATCAATGCTGTAGGCATATATGTTATGTGAATAATACCTAAAGATCTTCTTATATTTAGAGAAATTAATAAATGTCTTTAGGTATTAAAATTCCCTTTGATTAATCCCTGTGCATCGATTAGATATTCACATAAAGTATTATCCTTAATGAAACCGTTTTGAAGCTGCATTTTTTGAGCTAATATTAAATGGACGTAAATTATCAGCTTGTTTTCAATTAAAATGTTTGATTGTGATGTTTTAATATAGACACCTATTTATGCAGCTCGAAGCCGTCTACTGTTATTTAATTAACGTAAAGCGACATTCTTAAAATTATTCGTAATTATTTTAATATTTATTTTCATCTGCGCATCAGATATCAATTTTATAAATTGTTCTCAATTAAAAGTTTCTAATTGCGGTGCCAAGATATAATGTATATGCTTTATTTTGCAGCTAAAAAACTTCTACCTATTTTCATTTGCGCATTTTATATTAAATTTATAATTTGCTTTTTACAATAGTCAAAACTGTTTTTAAGAGGGACTGTTATTGATGGTGATTCCAATTGGCAATTGATTTAAGCAAACAAATAAATTGGCAAACTCCACCCATTTTAGTTTTTTATCATAGAACATTTTCAGATATTCCAAAAGCATACCCCATGATAAAACTTATCGAACTGCCTTCCGCCAAGTGGAGGTAATAAAACACGCACATTTACTCCCAGCCAGAGCTAGTCCATTCGAGTAGCGTGCAAATCAATCAAACAGCAATCAGACGGAGGCGAATACATATTTTATATATAGCTATCAGAAGCCTCTTATATAAACACTTCATATTAAGATATTACATAGTTAATACTGCTGAATGAAACTTAGTACCTCTCATTTGTGATAGCTGATGCGGGTGCCGTCGCCAGTGCCCCGGGCGAGGCACAGCTGCTCATATGGTGCGTCCGGCAGCACATCCACGGTGAGCTCCAGTAGCTTTGCTAAGGGACACTGCTTGTCACAGCCGGGCACCTGCAGCAGTTGCGGTGGTTGGTTGGGATCATTTTGGAAATATATCTCCACGAAGTAGTCATCACTATCGTTGCGTTTATGCAGCTCAATGGCTATCAGGGCTGAGAAACGGGGCATCTGATTCTGCCAAACGTTAAGGGCGCTTAGCACATTCGATATGCTCCAATCGTGTGCACAGGATATGTACATTTTTCTACCAGCTGGTTGCAGTTTGCCAGCTATCTTTGACTGCATATGGTAGAACATGTCAGCCAGAAAGAAACCTCCTTTGATTTTGCGCAGCTCCGGCGTGTACGCATCGTAGGTATACGATTTCGCAGCCAGTGGTCGCATTTTGTCTGGAAAGTATTCCTTTGTCCACTCTGGCAGCTCCAGGCCGTAGGCTTGCTCCGCCAGCAGCGAGATGAACACATTGGTCACATCGTGCGCATAGCTTACATTGAGGCCCGTCAATTCGGTTAGCTGTTGCAGCAGGTCCGAGTTCTCCTCGTGCAGTGCAACCACCTCCGGCAAATGCATCACCTCCCACACGGCCTCCTCGTAGCGGGGGCAAGGCACCTTCTGACGCAGACGCTGCGCATAGATTAATTTTAGTATTTATTAATTGGCCGTCTTTGCAGGAACCATTTGCTGCAACTTTACCGTGTCGGTTGCTTCAGGCTCTGTGTAGATTGGTATTGGTTGCCAGTTCAGCATCGCATCCCACTCCATGGGCGTATTCTCTGGCGGAAACAGACCTGCCAGCACCATCTGCATCGACATTAGGGTGCGTGATGACTCCGTGGCTTGAGCGTGAAGCATCTGAAATAGGTTTATCGATAAGCTATAACTCGTATTATGATCACACGTTTAGACTCACATCCGGTTGATAGTAGGGCACAAGAAATTGTTTGTAACGATTGCGCAATTGTTTTCCAATTTTGTAGAGCTCCAGCTTGGCTGCCTATTGGGCATTGATATATATTTGTAATGTAATTTAACTTTATTAAGTTATTTAGCTCACATTGGTCAGTTCTCCCCAGCCATATGGCTCGTAAGTTTCGTTCAAGTGCGGATCCTTCGGGTAGGTGTTGACGGGGGTACGTGGTCCATGGCGAAATAGCTGTGAAAATAGGGTACGTTAGGATATAGGATATTCACTGGGCACTCAATTGTTCATTTATTGTCTATAGTAGTTTGTTACCTTTCTATACATCAATTTTTGCGTAGTTAACCATTTGGGTCAATACTTGAGCTTTGTCTAACCATTAAGCCAAAATACGCTTAGCCATTTAATTTCGCAAATCTGTGTCTAGCATAATTAATATGTAGATTAAAGACTTTTCTGTCTCTAAATATCTATATCTGTCTTATTTTGGAATTCATGACAGGGTATTTTTTAGTCGAGCATTTTTACTTGATTTAGTATCTCATTAATAAAATTTCCTTATGAAGTTGCATGTTGCATTCCAATTAGTAATATATTAAATTAATTAGTTTTGCACATACACACATTTTAGTACTTGCCCAACAAACCGGTTAGTTCGCTTTAATTAATGTTAATGCTACTTGGCGATGTATTAAGTATACGCCATGTGGCACAAACTGGTCTTGGCATAAAACGTAAGAGATTTTATTTTAAATTTTTACCAAGTAGCAATATTAATATATAAATATGAATATTTAAATTCAAATTTAATTCAGCTGCTATGGCAGTTCATAAAAGTGGAAAGCACATTTTATAATTTTATGGTCTAGCGCGTGCTATGAGTTGCTATCTATATGAATTATTTTGGCACTTTAAATGCAAACAATATTTGCATTGGCTCAACCCAAGCATATCACATCCATTTGTATAGTATATCGCACAAACAGAGTTAAAGCAATTATAAGACTTGACATTTATTTACCACATGCACAAGCTCCAGCGTTGAGTTTGTAGTGGACAGCTCCTGTTTATGCTCATCCTGTGGCTCCTTTACGGGCACAATAGCTGCTCCCACGAGCAGCAGGGCACTCAGGCAGAACAACAGACCAGCAAAATGCTTGGCCCCCATCATATAAAGTTTTTTTTAAATATATTTCTATAGAGTTTTATTTTAAAAGCGTGCTCCAGCTACGTTGAGACTCACGCGTATAGTGACTGCACTAATAGAAGCCGAGCGGCTTTTAAGTCGCGATTATGTAGAACAGAATCGAGAGAATCGAGAATATGTTTGCAAAGATAGCGAACAGTGTGAGAGATGACGTTGCTCGAATCGCAAAAGCAAACAATTTGCAAAGAGCCGCTGCACAATAAAAACCTTTAATAACACACAAAATTAACTATAATCAACTTGAGTGTTCAACACAATAAACAAATTTACCAACAAAAATAGAAAGCAAAAATTCTCGCAAACACAATTAACTTTTTTGGGGTACTTTTGTTTATTTTTTCCGCTGATTTCATGACCTGCTGTCATCGTCTAATACTGAGTTCTGTGTGCTTTACAATGCTATTTCAATAAGTTATTGCTGATCGATTGGACGCGGAGGTGGCTCCACAAAATCAGCGTTACGAGCACGGCAACGCTGTTCCACGGGGTCATTGGGCAGCACTGATTCGCTCAACTCAACGAGCCGATTCAGTGGACACTGCAGCTCGCAGTCTTCTAGCTTCAGCTGCTCCAGGCAGCCAAATTCATCGTTGCGCAGAAAGATCTACAAAGAGTTTAGGACTTGTATAACTGCCAGCTGCAAAGAGTTTTTCCATAAATTCCATTACCTCCACATAGTGTTCCCCTGTCTCGCGATGCTTGTGCGTCTCGAAGATGGCCATGATAGCAAAGCGCGGCATTTGCCGCTTCCAAACGCCCAGCGCGGATAGTATGTTGCCGACGGTCCAATCGTGGCCCGTGTAGATGAACATGCCGCGCTCTGTGGGCTTCAAAGTGCCCGCCTGTTTCGCCAGCATCTCGTCGTACATTTTGCGCAAAAAGGGGCCACCTTTGATCTTCTGCATCTCGGGCGTATACGCATTGTACACATAGCTCTGTTCGGCAAGGAATTGCATGCGCTCGGGAAAGTAATCCTTCGCCCAGTCGGGCAGCTTGTAGCCAAACTCCTTTTCGGCCAGTAAAGTTATGTACAATGAGTTGACATCCTCCGCATTGCGCATAGGCATGCCAGTCAGATTGCTTAGCTCTCTGAGCATATCCGCGTAGGGCGCCTGTTGAGCGATTACCTCTGGTAAGGCAAAGACCTCGTCGCGCGCCTCGAAGTAACGCGGGCAGGGCGTGCGCACCAACAACAGCTGTTAATATTCAACTTCTGTATTATCCTGCACAATACGCATATATATAATCAGTTCTATTCCTACCGAATCTTGATCCAGTGGCTCAGACACAATGGGTATGGGCTGCCAGTTAAGCTGCTTGTTCCATTCCATGACTGTGCCGCGTGGCTCAAACATGCTGGCCAGTGTAGTTTGCAGCGACATCAGCGCCCGAGGCGAGGCCGTAGCCTGAGCATGAAGTCGCTATATAAACGTATATATTTATATATGAGTTTCATATATAGACAGACATCAAAGTGTAACTTACATCGGGCCTGTAAAAAGGTCCCATAAAGTCGCCATAGCGTCGATGCAGCCAGCGGCCCATCTCGAAGAGCTCCTTCTTGCCACGCTGCACAACAAAGTTTAATGGTTTGTTTTGAATTTACGCTTTTATACTTTTACAAATTTTAAATATTGATGAACTTAGTTATACAATGATTTGGAGTTTAGCGATAATTTTGAATCCCAGTTCCAAGTGTATCCTTACAATTTCCAATTCCAATTTTCTAAATTACCCAATTAATTGAAAATCCATAAAATATTCATAAAACCAAATCAAATTTCTTCAAAAACGCATCAAGATTGTATGGAAATTTTTTGTGTCGCATGTTTGGTGTTATTCGAAGTGTTTGTTTTAACTCACATTCGTCACATGGCCCCAGCCGGTGGGCTTGAAACTATCCTTGATATAGGGATCTTTTGGAAAGGTGTCGACGGGCGTGCGTATGCCGTGTCTAAAGACAATGTGCACCAGTTCCAGCGTTGAGTTTGTTGTATTCGGACGCGTTTTGTAGCACTTGTTAACTGGTCTGTTCACTTGCGCCCAAGGCGGCTGCTTGGCCTCCGCTTGACTGTTAAACACACAGATTGCAACAATTGCCAAGACAACGCCAGCGGCCAGCGCACTCATTGTGAGTATTTGTTTTCGCGTGCAGCGACCGAATATCATTTTTGATGCAGTTGTTTCTTATATAGCCAGCGAATCAGTTGCAAGCGGAAGTGAATTGAAGGCGCGACGACACAGGTCGTAAGTATCGATAAAACGTGATTTGAACAGATTTCGGAACTCGGGAGATTCGGTATCGGAGCACTGAGATCCACTCGCAATTCAATTAACTCGCAATGGAGTTGTCAGCGGGATTGTGCGTCTGGCGCGTGCTGTTGCTAGCGCGGCTGACACTCAAATAAAACCTAGACAAGTGGATGCGGAGAACTTAAAACTTAAAACGAGATAAATCAACGGGCGACCGTTCGTTTGGCATTGTTATTGTTGCGTCAGTTGTTTGAGAGGTTGACGTGCGCTGACTAACACGACTAACTGTAACAACTAGTATCTGTGACTATTCCAGTGAACTATCGGGCATAAAACCGAACCAATTAATTGGCTATTTCACTGAACCATGCTATTATATTAGTTGCGGGGGTGTGCCTCAGATATCCGCCCTGGATAACTCAATTCCCACGTCTATTTATAGCCATGTCACTGTGACGCCCCTTAGGCCAGTTTTCGCATTTCAATTTTTGCCAGAAATCTTTAATTTTAGTTTTGCACACATACTGAAATTTAAAAACTTTTGCACACAACGATTCTATTTATTTTTTTACTGGTTTGCTCTGCACTGGCGGCACAGAGTTGATTGTTTGATTATGAGAAGATTTTTGTTAGCATTTGAATGCAAATTAATATAATGAGGATTCAAAACAATCAGGCATATTCAATCTGATGCTGGAAAACCAATTACATGCCAATTATTATTGTTCATTAGCATGAATTATAAAGGTACACAAATTCAGCAGGTGGCAATAAGTTTACTTAATTCAGTCAAGTTTGTAAAATGCATAGAAGCTTGTCTTAATTTTATGTTTTAGTAGTGGCTTTTAATTCCTTTCAATTATAAAATGATATCTGAGCCTATCATTAGGTAATCATAGATTAACCATCACCATTAAAAAAAGTTATTGACCCTGATACTCTTAGATTAGATAAAAATTCGTCATATAAATATAGATCCCTTAGAGCCGGAATCGGCAATATATATATATATATATATATATGTATATATATATATATTTTGGGTTCGGTTATTATCTTTAAATCAAGCGTAAGCTAATTTATTTAAAGAGGGTATAAAAATACGTGTTTGTGAATTCTTTTTTGTACTTACCCACCTTGCTGCTTCAACTCATTCAGTGGAAAGGTATAAATTCCCCAGCAAAAAAAGCGTTATTTTTGCACAAATTATTTGGCTTTCCACAATGTTGTTTTCCTCTATTGACATTGGAGCTTTTGTCATAATTATCTGAGTGTTGGTTTATGCACTGTTTAAACAAGTTATTTGGCTTTTTTGTGGTCGCTATAACAAGCAGACAGATAGACGAACCAAAGAGTGATATACCAGGTGTATGTATCTAGATAATTGCGCTTAACGCGCGTATTATTAGACATCGGTATTCTGTTTAGAACATTTAGTATCTTGTTTTTCAGTTAACATTGTTAACTTTGTTGGTTGACTGGCAACAGTTGTTTTTTCGAGTGGTTCTAAGAATGTTCTCTAATTGCCCAAACACTCCCTCGTCTATGGCTGCTGTTACCTTTTAGAGGTTAATTAGTAGCACCGCTAGAATTCGTCCACCTCAATGCTTTTATAGAACTTCCGAAATATGCAATTAGCTGTTGAAAGAAAAAAAAAATTGTGCTGAATAACTTAAATTGGTGACAGACAGCGACAGCTCATGACTGGCGTCTATAGACTTGAACTTTTGTCTGGTTTTTAGCTGTCAGCATTTAGTTGACTTCGTTTGATAATTGTCAGCATACCTGCATATACATAGTTTACAGCATGCACATATAAATCGACAGCAGCAAACAGATCAGATCAGAACGGATCGGAACAGTACAGAACAGATCACTATATCAATGACTCTACGCAATTGACATTTGAATTGCATCAGCTTTAAAAGGCGATTAGAATTAATAAAACAGCGAAATTTGACGGCCTTGCAGCAAAACGGAAGATCTTTGAAACTACATTCGTAGTGGAATTATTCATTTCTTTTCACAGCTAATTATCTATTTGAGACATTCACGAATATTGACAGCTTGTCACTTGAAAAGCAATTAAAATCCAAATGTTCACGTTAAGAAAAAGTAGTTTTTTTTTACTTATCTAAGCAACACTTAATACTTAATACGCATAGAAAAAATTAGATTTATTATATTAAATAAATAAATAAATAGTTTTTAATATGGATAAATATATAATAATGTATAATGCTTATAAGAATCTTGATATCAAATAAATAAAAATCTTAAAGAATAATTTTAATGCTTTTGACTATTAATTAGCTTTAAAATCTGTTTAATCTCTGCGCGGTCTGCAGATATTGTCCGTGTGAATACGCAATTGCGTGTTCATTTTATCGCTAATATAAAAATCAAATTTTTTATGAAGAATCTACGACTTTTATCATTTTCCCCTTCCTTGGGCGACAATTGGCTTCCCTTTTGTATTTTATTTTTGAATTTCTAACAATCGATTGTCACACCAATTGAACTTTAATCACTGTGACTTTTGTCATTGCTTTATCGTTTAGGCGACAACACATAGCAGTCAAACCCCGAAACTCGTTCCTAAAATGTCCCTCTGGCCAAAAGATTACAAAAAAAAACCTTGACCAGGGGTTGCTAGTTGCGGACAAAAAGCCAATATGCCGGCTTGAATCGCGCTTTGTCTCATTGAATAGTCCGCGACACGCCCCCTTTATAGCTCAGTTCCGTGTATGGGAGTTTAACTGCGCGCATTCGAATTTTTATGCGCGTCTGTTAGAATTTTCAGCTATTTCAGCGAAAAGGCACGAACCAACAAAAAATAAAAAAAAATAAAAAAACAAAAATGAAACACAGGAACTGGCGAAAAATTTGTCGTACAAATCTTTGAAATGGCTCCGCTGAGAACTATTTCAATGCGTCGAATCAATAAATTTTGGCCCGGCAATCGCATCGCTTTGTCTGACAATTTGGCTGGCATGTTTTTTGGCGCTTCTGACTGCAAAGAGCCATTGCCTCAGTCAATAGTTTGTCTGCCCTAATCGTAATTGCATGGCTGATAAATATTAATGTCATGTGCGAAGATCCTGCTCCCGATGCTGCTTCCCGGCTGACAGTTTGCCCAACGTTTTTCCATATACCCTGTATCTTTATAGATACAGCAAATGGATAAGTGTTTCATTAAGCTATCAGCTACTCTTAAGCATTTACTAAGCATTTATGGAGAAGTGCAAGTTCTATTAAAGATTCCTTTCAAGTGACTTCCCCACATATGCACATTTAATTAATGATGCTGCATACAGAGTATCTATTAGTCGAATTCGCCGCACCCTATAGCATTCGTTACTTGCGCTAGTGTGCATTTTATGGGAACTTAGCACGTGGCCAGCCTACTTAGCTCACTCGATTGAGTTTCGAATACCAAAAGCAAATAACATACTTACGAACATGTTTGCGAAAATAATTTTATTTGTTTGTTTTTGCAGCGGCTACAAATGGCGCAGTCCCCTCAATTAAAGTGAAAGTCATTTTGCAATATTGCTAGACGAGCGGCCCTAAGAACTGATAAGAGGACGGCAACAAAGTTGAACACGCGCTTCGAAAGAGAGAGAGAGGGAGAAAGGGATGCGATAAGAGTAGCTTAGAAAACTGTTGCAATAGCATATTAACGATTTTGATGAAGCCGATACTTTTAGATCGATTTTAGACCCCAAATTATAAATTATTTTTTAACGTTTTTTTATAGACAAGGTTTCTTCTTAAGGAATTCAAAATTTTATATATTTTCTAAGTCTTAATTAAGTTGCCTTAATTATCACAAAGCCGAACTGATTTCAAAAAGCTTGACATCAATATGCGGCAAATAGATATATCCACAATTAAGTTCAGCAATTTTTACTGTCAAAAAAACGATGCATTTTTTAACTAAATACTATATGCTCAATATATATAAATTGTTCATTAACATAGGTGTCGTGTGCTTCGATTGGCATATTGAACTCCAAAATCCAAAACCGCATTTCTTCCCATTATTTCACATATATATGAGAGATTTTGTAAATATGCACAAATAGTAAACATGCAGAAAATAAAAAGCAAGTTATGTCCAAACGTTATTTGAAATAAATTGTTATTATTTATGTTCCAGGAGTTTTGCAATTTAGCTTCTCGTTCTATAGCAAATTTGAATCTGAACACTCTTGATATGCTGGCTAATTGTTTATTAATGAGCTGATTTAACTTTTTGAAGCTGTTTAATCGCGCTCGTATCATGTGCTTTACAGAAAATTACAACCAAATTATTCACATAATTAAGCTTTAATGCGTAATTGCCCTAGCCATGCCCTCAGCAAAACGCCCATCCCAATGTAACACATCAATGCAAAGTAAAATTGTGTGTAAAAAATGTGATAATTAACTTAAGTCCCCTGGGAGTTGGCGAACGGATTGTTGCCGGTAACTCCCGGCTGTTTAAATGCCTTACATACATATGTACACACACACACATGTATATATATATATATATATATATATATATTCACAGCTGAGTGGCTGTGCTTTTATGTGTGTTAGTGCTTACAAGCATAAATGCGAATACATAAACTCATTGTCAGTTAATTATGTAAAATTCCGAGGCGTATATTTTCATTAAAAAAACAACAAATTTTTTATATACATAAAGGACTTTCCATTCATTCCAGGTACACACGCACACAGCTTTTCAACCGACTCATTTACATTCTTCTACAAACAAATATGTTGGTGTGCATTAGAGATGAGTGTAAAATAATACTTAGAAACATACACAGGACATTAGTTTTCTTTTTTGTTCAATTTCATATTAACTTTTTACAGATTACAGTTATTTAGAGCTGATTGGAAGATAAATTATTTAAAATTCT